AATAACTGCAAAGCTACTGGACTGGAAACTTTGTATTTGATGTTCCACTTAGTGACAGTCTAAATTACAAAAGATTGCAAAGCATTTTGTGTATGCATGCATCCTGCTTTGCTGCAATTCAACTTTGGCAATTTACATTTACACTGTTCAGCCAATTAGGCCTCTCTTATCAACTTAGAGCATTTACAGCAGGGAGGCAACACACAATTAAAGTTCTCTCAGTTAGTCAGTTTCCATATGTGCCAATGCTCAGCTGCAATCTGTCTCCACAGTTTCTTTTGTATCTGAGACCTTTTCCTCTGGTTTATCAGTCTGTGCCCTAAGCAGGAGGAAAGTTGTTGATCTGTTAGAGCAAATGGCAAAGGAGGGAGAAGATATAGAGTCAGTGTCATGAAACAAAGAAAGAATCACACTTAGTCTTCCACATGATGATAACAGAAACTGCAAAAAAGGTGTGGCAATGGCTTCGTCTGACCTCCTCTGCCTTCATGAGGGGGAAGGAGGTTCCAGAACAACATCAACAGCACAAGGCTGATTCCTATAAGGCAAAAGGTCACACATGCTGCCACCTTCCAACCTTTCTACTAGTTCTGACACCAACTGTCCCCCCATGGCACCCTCCACTTCTTTGTTGGCTTCAAAAATTCATTGCAATGACCACACAGAACTCATAGAAAATATTTATGATTATGGGGTTAATAAACTTCCTAATAAGGGAAGTAACAGGTTACAATTCAAGTTCAGGAATGCTCAGATACAATTCCTCAATCAAGACAGCCTCCCCTTGGCCATACCCACAGGCACACCTCTCTTTGGCCCTGAGCCCTTCAGCCTGGCCTCTGCCCAGCTTGGGTGAGTGTTACAAAGCTCTTTTTAGCTCTGCCAATAGGTACACCCCACTCTGCCAGCAAGCCTCCTGCCTGAAGGTACTCAACTTTCTCACTCTGTGGGCTCCTCCACTCTGTTTCACTCCCGTCTCTTGTTTCTGTTGCCTCTGCTGCTACCATCTCTCTTCCGTCTCTCTGCCATCATCTCAACACAGTCAAGGTCAAATCAGGTCAAAGGATATGCTCCACTACTGACTCTTCTCTGTCTTGATGGTAGTGAGATCCCCCCTTTCTGCCCCCTGGGATAGCTCATTTTAAGCCTAGCAGAATGGCAAAACTGTCTAATCCCCATGTTAGAGTTCCATACACCTTATTTTCCACCCCTCACAAGGATGCCATGTACCTTATTTACATTGTTAAAAAGCTAACCAATCCCCTTGGTGGACAAGCACCTCACATTCACACAGTTCCACCAGTTCTACCCAGTCATGTGGTGGGAGTCACAAAGATCATGGCTGAAGAGCCATATTAAGTAATTCACTGCACCACACAGAAGCTTCTTCACAATCATTAGTAATAGTGATCCATTAGTATTTTTTCAGTTTAATTACTCCATTTGATGTTGTGTTGTTGTTTACACACTATGCTACCAGAGCTCCATAGCCTTATCTTACAGATACTTAAACTTATGTCAGACAGTCGAACTATTTGTCTAAGACCTTACAGATTATAAGCAGTACATCAGTAGAAGGCAGGTTTTTGATATATCATCTCTATAGGCCCTTTCTTGAGAAAGTTTCTTAAGACTCTACTCTCAAGGAATACTAAGGTCAATTGGCATAACATAGTCCACAAAGACAGAGTTCTATATCCTTTGATAAGTAATGACTGAGATCTTAAAAGTTTATGAGCTTCCATCTAAGGCCCAACTATTATTGGTCTCCCCACATCCAGAACAATGAAGAGTGAAGAAAATCAAACACACAAGGAATAATTGTCTGAAGGACTAATGAATCATGAGAACTACAGCCTCCATAACCCTGAGACCAGAAGAACTAGACAGTGTCTGGCTGCCACAGCTGACCACTCTGAAAGGGATCATGATAGGTGGTCCCAGATAGAGTGGGAGAAAAATGTGGAGCCAAACTCAAAATCATAAAAAAGACCAGGCTTACTGGTCTGATAGAGACTGATGGAACCCTTGAGACTATGGCCCTTAGACACCCTTCAAACCTGGAACTGAACACACCCTTGTGGCTCAACTTTCAGACAAATGATAGATAGGCAAATGAGGTGAACAATAACACCATGAGATACACATTCATTAGAACAATCAACCACAGAAGATCAAAAGGGTAGCATTTGCCCAGAAATAAAACTCAGAAGGCAGGAAGGGATAGGAAAGAAATAATGGAAATAGTGAGCACAGGGAGAAAGTGGGAAGAGTGCTATTATACTGTAGAGATTGTAATCAATGTCACAAAGCAAAATGTATATGAATCATTGAATGGAAAACCAACTTGCTCTGTAAATTTTTACCCAAATTGCAATTAAAAAAAAGTTTCTGAAGATTTTCAAATTATTTTAAGCAATGGAAATATCATTTAAATATGTTTATAGCTGGGGGGGGGACCTGACTTAAAAATAACACTGATTTGTTTTCAATTTGTTAAAAAATCAGTTTTGCTTTTTACAGGAACAATATAACCAGCCTTTGGAAACTCTTTAAAATGGAAAATTCAGTTATAAAGTATTAGTCTTCTGTTTAAAGGCATTTCATAAGTAAAGATTTTGGATGTGATGAAAAAGCATCTAATTTTGTGAATTGAAGATAAAATTCAGCACAGTGTGTCTTTAAGACTGATTTCAAATTAGGCCAAGGAGTTGAGTTCATTTCTGCTTTTTAATCTTGAAAAGCAAAACGTGTTGAGGAATCAAAGGAAGAGAGAATTCCAGGCAATTGAGTTGATTCATGTGTGTTGACTGCAAATATGGAACTCAGTGTCAGTAAGCACAGGGGGAAGTTGCTACCAAGAGGCTTCTATTTTCAAGCAGCAAAAGAGCCAAGAAGTTGATTTATAAAGAACATATACTTCTGCACAGAAACTTGAATCAAGAGATAAACAGCATGAAAGAGAAACCTCTGTTCAAGCTCTTGAAACTGTCAAATGTCTCTAACTCCCTCCAAAAGCCTTACAAAGACTCTCCAAAATTCTTGCCCAGAGAGGTATTGCACCAGCTTATGATCTGTTGAAGTAATAATTGGCTTGAATGATGAAGAGTAAACCATCAATATTAGCATCTTATAAATTTAAATAAAATTTACAGCAAGTGGTTTCTGTACTGCCTCACTTTATAGACTTATAGAGAGATACACACTACATAGTTAATCCCATTCATTGATAGTTAAATTTGCTTTCTACTAATATTTCTCTAAAATTTGGGCATGAGTCCTTGCATGGGAATATAACTAGAGCTGCTGCGTGCTGCTAAATTGGTTGTTCACTGTAAAACTCGGGGAGCACCATTCACATAGACCACGACATGAAAAATGCCCCAGGGAAATCCAGGTGGCCCTGACTACAATCTCTCTGTTTCCTATAAGATACAATGCATAACAACCTATATACCTCTTTGTCCAGAATATAGACTTTTTTAAGTATGATAATTATCTGTCTGTATTAAAAATCAGCCTAATAGTGTACCCTCTAATAGTAGGATTTATAAGAGTACTGGTAAATACAGGCAAATACTTGGATTTTCTTATTTCCTACTGAAGGTTTTGCCTACCACTACCAAGTCCAACCTAACTTTTGAGGCTTCATTAGCAGATAATTAATGTTGTAGTTAAGGATATGTGTTAACTTAGCTGGGCCTGGTTTTGAGTGGCTGGGGAGCTGGATGTAGTATTCCCCGTGATGAGCCTGGTAATCAACTCCATGGTAGAATCTACTGTGATCAGCTGAGTAGCTGCCTTAGGGATGGAGTGCTCTCCCCGTATATAAGGAGAAGCTTTAGGTCTGCAACTTTTGGCATGCCTGAATCCTGCATGTAGCCGAGTCATTGTACAGCAGCCTGCCATGTTGTCTGCCAATCTTGGGACTGTTAATGGACTTTAATTAGTAGCCTGCTGTGTGGTTTGATAATTTTGGGACTGGGCCATTTCACTTGTCAGCCTTGAGTTTGTCAGCCTCAGCAGCTGCTGAGTAAAGACATGCCTCCAGCTCCAGTGTGCCGTGAGCAGGAGGCAGAGCTGAAGCCCAAGGTCGAGGGTCTTTCACCTAGGCTCTAGAGCTTGGCACTTTGAACTCGGACTTCTAACCTTCAAAACCGTAAGAGAATAAACACCTGTTTGTTAAAACCATTCTACCTGTGGTATTTCTGTTAGAGCAACACAGAGTAACCAAAACAGTTAGTGACTGTTAACCTTATATCTTTGATCATGGTGATTGTTCCCTACCTATTTCTCCTCACCCGGTCTTTTATTACTTTCTCAAAGGCTCATTGCCTGCAGGAAAAATATCTACATTTCCTCATAGAATTGATTATTTTTGCAGATTGCATACCTTTCAGTTACTCTATTACCTGCAAAATTCTGAAAGGAATTTCTATTTGCAAATTTCCCACACCTTGCATGCTATGTATAGAATTCTTACTTCCCCAAATGATCACTACACTATATTAGGTATTAATGAACTGTATTAAACAAACTATTGCTGCAATAATGCTGTGAGAGAAACAATATTGATATCCCTATGGCCTATAACATTTATTTCTGTTACTCATGAGTCTGTGGACAACTAAAGCAGTTCTACTGCACCATATAGGTCAGAATTAGGTCTGTTCCATGTATCTCCTTATTCTGGAACCAACAGCTCCTATAAACATTTTCTTTTCATGGCAGGTGGCAGAAGTGCAAGAGGAACAAACAAATCAAACAAGCCCATTTCAAGTCTCTGACTATACTTGAGTTCTACCTAAGTCAATTGACCAAAACAAGTTGATAACAGTTGAGTAGAGAGGAACACTCTTCCCCAAAGGGAAACCACTGCAAAGTCCTACGGCAAAAGGGTCTGATAATGCTATTGCATGCAGGGAATGAAGAACTGTAAACAAACGTTCAATCCACACCATGTATATAAATCTCATAAATATATTCTCTGTCATTTACAGGAGTTGAAATTGATAGGGCTGGATATTCCACACTTTGCTGCAGATCTTCCGCTGAACCGATGTAAAAACCGTTACACAAATATCCTACCATGTAAGATCTTCAAGAGTGCCCATTCTATCCAAGTCTTTTAAAGGATGAAGGACCATTATTATTGCAGATTAATCAATTTCACCAATCTCTGGCCAAAGCCAGTTGTGGTTTGGATCTTGAAGGATGTCTATGATTACAGTGAAGCCCTTGAACTCTTTCATACTTTGATGTCATTAGACCTGTATTGTATGTTAGGAAGTTGTATGTTGTTGTGTGTGACTAAAAACTAACCATTAGGCCCTTTGGAGATTAAAACAGTCTCAGTAAATTTGGAGATCAGATAATTTGTACTCTCAAAAATTATTTTCTGTCAATTTATGGATAATGGAAGAAAGCTAGTAGAAAAGGATTGGAGTGGGTTATCTTACCTCTGGCAAGTTCTTCTGTTGTTCAGTATTTTGTAATAAAAGCAACAACGCAGGGCAAAAACAAAATGATAAAGAGTATGTGTTGTTGTTGTTGTGTGTCATCGAGTTGATCCTAACTCATAGTGACCTTATAGGACAGAGTAGAACTACCCCATAGAGTTTCCTACACTGTCACCTTTATGGAAACAGAGGTCATTTCTACCACAGAGCAGCTGGTGAATTTGAACTGCTGAACTTTTGGTTAACAGCCTAACACTTAACCACTACACCTCCAGAGCTCCTCCTAAAGTACTTACAAGATGATTAACATACATTCCAATATAAATTTAACCTTCCTCTCTGCTACACTGTAGGGAGGTCAGGAAAGGATGAAAAATGGGAAGAGAGAGGCTGACAAAGCTCTAGAAGAGCTCTCTTCTTGATAAATATTTATTGATAAAATTTGGTAGTAATAACAGTAACATAATACCTTATATCTGTATACATTTAAAATTTTACATTTCTCTTTTAAAGTCCATTAATTTAAAAGCCCATGCGACTTCATCTTCTTATCTCAAGGTCTCTCCGAGGTAATTAATTCTGTGGATATCCCTACGTGAAATGGGAATCATGTATTTAGGCTGGTTACTTCCATGCAATCTCCTAGACATTTTAGATCCTGCAACTATTCTGCATGGTCCCCTCAAAACTTAGAAACAATTCTCCCAAGGATATGATAGCTAGTGAGGAGAAAGCAGTGCATTTGTTTAAACAAGAAGCTAAGACTGAAATATGGCTGAAGTATCAGATTGGAAACAACTTTACCTACTACATCACTAACTAATTTTACTTGAGTTTCAGTCAAGAGGGTCAAAATAATTCTTTCTTCCATCTTGATTTTCAATATTTCTTATCTCCCTACAGATGATTTTAGCCGGGTAAGATTAATCTCCATGAATGAAGAGGAAGGTGCAGACTACATCAATGCCAACTATATTCCTGTAAGTAAAAGATAAAATAAAAAGTATCCTTATGGTAACCCAGCCAATGGAATACGATTCAGCACACACAGATATATCCAACAGTTAAAAAGAGATCACTCCCCACCCAGCAATCCAAATCTAAAGAACAGTTCCCACTATTCCATCTCAGAATAAAGAATGGGGAGGGGGGCACCTCAACCTCACATATTAGCAACGTTCAATTTCTTTGTTGAAGAGAAAGTAGATAATTACACTAAAGATGAATATCCTGTTGCATTTAAATGCCAGTTCCAGCCACCAAACCAAAAGTTCTCCACTTGAGCACCTGTACTTGTAACGTATATAAAGATAACTTATATATTTCAAAACTTAAATGTGTGTGTGTGTGTGTGTGTGTGCATATAAAAGGTGTGGTTGAAGGCATGTGATTTTGTAAGCTTCCAGAGAGCAATACTTAAAATCACACAGACCTATATGGTCAGGCAAATACACTGACTGCTTTTTTGATGAGCAAAGGAGAAAATGTTTTATCACTGTCTAATCCTTTGCCAGGTTTATCATCAGTTAATTTTCAGTTTTTTCTGGTTTGTAAGGACTAGCATTTGGTGTTGGCAGGCCTCATTAGGTGACACTTTGTCACTTATCTCTCAGGGATACAACTCACCACAGGAGTATATTGCCACACAGGGGCCACTGCCAGAAACCAGAAATGACTTTTGGAAGATGGTCCTACAACAGAAGTCTCAGATTATTGTCATGCTCACACAGTGTAATGAGAAAAGGAGGGTAAGTACCTAAGGGGGTCTTTCGTACTTAACAGCAAAACCAGCACAAGCCTCTGCTGTTGATTAAGTTTCCTGTGTAGCAGAAACTCTTTACCTGTTTTATTTTTCATTCTTGCAACAGTTCTATACAGTTGCTCAGGGGCAGATGCATTTGTTTTCCAGGAGTGAAAGCAGGCTTCATTTCTTCCCCCTCTTCATTTGACAAGGTTGTGTTATTTTTCGCCTCAGGTGAAATGTGATCATTACTGGCCTTTCACAGAAGAACCCATTGCTTATGGGGACATCACTGTGGAGATGGTCTCAGAGGAGGAGCAGGATGACTGGGCCTGTAGACATTTTCGGATCAGCTATGTAAGTCCTGAACTTCAGGTACTGCTCCCAGGCTGCAGGATCTCCCATAAGTGTCAGGAGTCCACCATGTCAGGCCATGACCACTTAGGTTTTTTTTTTTTTTTTTTAATTGTGATTTGCATGAAAGTTTACAGAGCAAATTCACTTTCCATAAACCAGCTCACATACTCTTTGTCTCATGACATTGACTACAATTTACCACAATGCAACAGCTCCCCTCCCACGTCCTCCTGATAGTTAGCTCTTCCCTATGTTCATCCCTCCATGATCTGTCTCCCTGTGCATAAACAGCACTTCTTTCTCCCATGATTGTTCTCTCCAAGGAGTGTATCTACCTCAGGTAGATGTTCAACTCCTATGCCTGTCTTTTGTTTGTCTGGAAGCCACAGTTGTGGGTTCATTTCCAGTCCTGAGGGGCAGCTAGAGGCCATAGTCTCAGTGGTTCCACCAGGCTCTATCAGGCCAGCAAACCTGGTAGCTTTTTTTTTTTTTTCCAAATGATTTTGAGTTTTGTTGCACATTGTTCTCCCTCTCTATCCAGGATCTCCTACATAGATCTCCTACCACTTAGGTTTTGAAGCACTGCTTCCTTGAGGAGAAAAATTCCACTTTTAATGTAGTTGCTTACTATTTCATTAAGAATGCTGTGGGTGAAATGGTTGGCCTGAAATGGGAAGAAATGGGGGAAAAAAAAAAAAAAAAAAGCCTTCACCTGTTCCATCTAAGTTTAGCACAGGGCAAGAGATGACAAGGTTAGTTTTTGGTTACCAGGCTTGATTGAGGAAGGAAGTTTCTCACTACCTATATTAACCACATATGAATATAATTAGGATGACAAGGTATGCTTAAATTTGAAATGAAGCATTTAAACCATGATTTAGTAGCTTGGACATTGCTTTTCCTTATTATTATTATTATTATTATTATTTTGGTTTTGATTTTTTGGAAGGTATTTCTAGGCTTACTAATCATGGATCCACAGATCTTTTTGAAGTGCTATTGATTTCTGAATGTTAGAATGTCAGAAAAGTCTAATTTTCCTATTAAACTTGCTGTCTCTCTGATGATAAGCCTTTGAACACATGTTCAATGTTTCTCTGTCAGCCTTCAGAGATGTATTTTAGGTGCTAACATCAACCAAAATTACCCTGTTGCCTTCTTCACATACAACAGTCCCCAGAAAATAGGAGTATTTACTAGTATTTTCCACTTGAATGTACTCTCTACCAAGGACCAAGTTTAACAGGAAAGTCCTCTTTAAAATGTTATTCACTAAAATTTTGGAAATAAATAGTGGTAGTAATTGCACAATATGTGAATATAATTAACCCCACTCAATGGTACCCTTAAAATGGAGAATTTTTTGTTATATATATTTTACTACACTACAGTTAAAGAAAAAAAAAATATTCCCTCCTCAGAAACAACCCTTCCTAATATTATGTATTATAGTATTTGAAGGCAAACTTTGGCCTGTGGTCCAAATCTAGTCCACCACCTGTTTTGTAAAGCCAAGCTAAAAATGGCTTTTACATTTTTAAATGGTTAGATATTGAAGGGACAATATTTTATGACACATAAAAATTATATGAACTTAAAATGTCAGTGTACATAAATAAAGTGTTACTGGAACACAACCATGCTTGCACGTTTACATATTGTCTATGACTGCTTTTGTGCTACAATAACAAATTTGAGTAGTTGGGACAGCCCTTATGCTTGCAAAGCCTGAGCTTGTTAAGGGTCAGAAGTGACTGGATGGCAACTAACAACAGCCCGTCACAGAAAAAGACTGGCGACCCTAGTTACAAACAATGCAAGCAAAGTTCATCCATAGCAATACAACAGGAGCACTCAGTAACTATCTAGTAATTTTTAGTAACTGATCCTTCTTAACCACTGGCCATTAACAATGGCTTTTACTGCAGTGAGAATTTAGGCATATTGCAGTGTGACTGTAAAAGACTGTTTCACGCTGTTTCATTCCTTTGAAATGCTCATCTCCTCCTTTTTCACCAAGTGAATTTCTATTCAAATAGTTTCACTTCCAGTGTCACCTTCTCTGGTCTCAGAAGCTATATTTCCTCTTCTCCTAGAATCTCTGTCTAATCGTCTAACACAACACACAGTAGATGGCTACAACCATCTCTCTTTATGCCCGCCTCCCTGGTAGAATGTGAGTTTCAGAAGCAAGCACCTTATTTTAATGATCTTTATAATCTCAGCCCATACCTAATTATTAGATCTTTGTGGAACGAATAAATGAGTAAATGAATGACGTCAGAATTAAAACACTTGTAATGCATCAACGCTTTTTCCATTAGAGAAATTATATGACTCTCGGTGTCATTTGAGCTCTGTTTACTCTCTTGGCTATTTCAGCCAGGAAGGGGGTACAAATTGCTAGACACTTACAGAATAAATCTTTCACTATCATTGCAGCTGAAGAAAAAACAAAAAGCAAAACATGATTTAGGTCTATTCCTATGCTTTGTTGTTGTTGTTGTTATGTGCTGCCGAGTCAGCCCCGACTCATAGTGACCCCTCCTTGGGTTTCCGAGGCAGTATCACTACAGAAGTAGATTGCCCCATCTTCCTTCCCAGGAGTGGCTGGTGGGTTTGAACCGCCAGACTTCTGGTTAGCAGTCAAGTGCCTTAGGCACGGAGGTCTAATGGTGTAGTGGTTAAAGCGTTTGGCTGCTAAGCACAAGTTTGGTAGTTTGAACATACTAGCTGCTCTGTGGGAGAAAGATGAGATAGTCTGCTTCCATAAAGATTTACATGGGGCACTTCTACTCTGTCCTATAGGGTCACCATGAGTCAAAATAGACCTGATGGCAGTGGGTTTTTGGTGTATCCACTCCCCCCCACTCCCCACCCCCGCCCCAGTGCTTATTCCTTGTGCACAGGGAAGAGTTAGATAGATCATTGCATGGTCAATACTGATTCTTGTCCTTCATCTTAAAAGATGGCCTGTCTCTCAATGACACCATGTCAATGGCTTGTAAAATAGCAATAAAACATTGAAAAATAGTGTTTGTACAATAGCTACTAGCATGCGGTATTAGAGTGCCCCCTGTTGGCTATAAAAGTATATAATTTAAGCTCTTCCAACGAAGGTGAAATTGCCAAAGCACATTGTGCTATGCTAACGAATATGTTTTTCTATTTGTTTTATTTGTTTATATTGCTCTTTATCCCTCCTGTAATCATGTGGAAACTTTCAGAGTGTAAGGATAAATAAATTACATAATTAAGGAAGTCAAGGTAACAGAATTTAGGAATAGCCAAGTAAGATAAAACCAGAAGGTTCTTTTTATTTAACAAGAAAGGAAGAAAGTGACCATTACATCCAACTTACATCTTTCCAATAATTAAAAATTAGCATGAACTGAGGAAGAACTGTAAACTAAAGATCAGCAAATAAATTATTTGTTCCCAATGATTTGGGGCCTTTTTATTCAGCTACTAGGACTGACCCCAGTACTAAGCCTCTTGCCTTACAGTTGCAAAGACACAACTGAAATTTTAAGTATTTCTTCTGTTTGAACCATATTACACTTTTTAGCTGGATACATTTTCAGATCAACTTTATTAGAATATATACATTGCCTACAATGTACACATCTTATGCTACTCAGCATGTGAACAGGGCAAGCATTTTCATGAAATTTCTGGGCAACCAAAGTTACCAAATGGTTGAGGATATACTTGCATAAGCATGGTGTTAAGTAACTAAGTCATTCTGCACAGTTTATTATGTCTGTGTTGCTTTCTTGCCATACTTCCTGAAGACAGTGGTAAGAGTAGGCGTCTTTGCAGAGTTCATGATTTATGTGTTTAAGAAAGAGCCCTTCAACATAATAATGGAGGTCCTGCATGATATTGTAAGTAGATGGCCTTGGGTGCCAATGGGACAGAGGTCTGGCTGAATTTCTGGTGTATTTATATTTATACAAGTGTGATTATACATTTACTTATATTTGTACAAATTTTGCTTCATCCAAGACTGCTGACTCTTTGGAATTCATTTCTCAAATCTAAACTTTATTTCCCAATTCATAGCCAGGACAAACTCTCCATAAGTATAATATAATATTGCATCTTCTTAGTGGACTGTAGACCCTTAATAAGTTTGAAGGACAAGGGATGAATTAAATCTTTGTAAGCCTGCATTTGGAATATTTCTCACCATTGGTAACAAGATAGTAAATCCTTATTCTTCAAAGTAGTAAGGACTAAAGTGGATCTTGAATGACCCACAGTAATCAGTTCACAGGGAAGTACAATTTATATGATGTACAAGTTAATTTGAGTATGATAAATTTATAAAGTATACATACTTACTAGATATTCTCAGAGCCAGCCATGCAAATGCACTGAGCTGTATAGGAGTAAGTGGTAGTGACTGTGTAGTAGTAGTGATAATAACAGAGTAGAAATGGACCCAATAGCACATACCAACAACAACAACATCTACTGGTGCTTATGCACTATCCTTCACAAATATAATCACACTTAATCCTCACAATAACCCTTGCCTTAGGTATTATCATAGGACCCATCTTACATATGAAAAAACTGGAGCTCACAGTGAGTGTGTCTTGGGTCAGTTTCCCTAGAATCAGAGTTCAAGACAGGTTCTTGTATAAGTGGTTTTATGAGAGCATAATCTCAAATGGAGTCCCTGGGCAGTGCAAGTGGCTCACGTGGGTGGCTGCTAAGCAGGGTTGGAGGTTTGAATCCACCCAGACAGAGCTGTGGGTTCAGCTGACCCCATGAAGAGTACAGGGATGCAAACGGCATCACAGAGTTTCCCACCATAAGACAAGGGGCGGGCTTTGTATGTCTCCATATCAGGCAGTCATTAACTGTGGGCTGCCCTTAGCAGGAGGATTGTAACCTCCTAGGCATTTTCTAGTAAGGCGTCTCCCTTTGTTGTTGTGGGGAGCTGTTGAGTTGGTTCCACTTCGTAGTGACCCCATGTGACAGAGTAGAACTACCTCATAGGGTTTTCTTAGTTGAAATCTTTCCAGAAGCAGATCACAAGATCTTTCTCCCACAGAGTCAATGGGTAGGTTCGAACTGCCAATCTTTCAGTTAGCAGCCGAGCACTTGATCATTTGTGCCACCAGGCTCCTAACTCCCTTTCATGGAGAGCACTTATCAGGAGAAGGGTAGAGATGTGCATGGTTAGCAGCAGCTGGGAAAGAGGTGCTTGATAAAGGAGGCCAAGTGGACACCCCCAGCACTTTCCACAGTGTTTATTTAACTCATTGGCCAAAGCTGATGCAGCTTCTCAGTGGGAAGGCAAGGATGCAAACCCCGATTCACTTAAGCTTTTGTCTTGTGTAGTTACACAGGTGTGGATTAGCCTATTTATCCTACTACTTAAAGATTCGATACAATTAACCTTTTTTTTCAGGGCCTATTTTGTGCCAGACAAATTGCTGGGAAGGGCAGCACACTGACCAGGAGTGCAGCATGGTTCCATCTCCTTATACCATTAGCATGGGATCCTGCAGGGCGGCCTGGGCCATCCTGTCTGTGGACTGACTGATGCTTCTCTTCATCTTTTTCTCCTGAAGGCTGATGAGATGCAGGATGTCATGCATTTTAACTACACTGCCTGGCCTGATCATGGCGTGCCCACAGCAAATGCTGCAGAAAGCATCCTGCAGTTTGTATACATGGTTCGACAACAAGCTACCAAAAGCAAAGGCCCTATGATCATACACTGCAGGTAACCTCATCAAATGCATTTTTTGTTACACACCAGGGGCTTTGTTTTAAAAAGGAAACACCCCACCATTCTATAAACGCCTAGTCAGATTTCGTTGACAATTAAATCAGATTTTGATTTTTTAAAAATTTTATGTTATTTTTGGTGAAATATACCATTTAACAATTTCTACAATAGGTGGTGGTGGTGTTGTAACAGCACCACCACCACCTATTGTTCAGTGACATTGGTTACCTTCTTCACGTTGTGTCAACATTCTCATTACTTCTGCTCTGTTTCACCCCCATTAATTTAAATTTCCTGCCCCCTAAACTTCTCACCAGTGCTTTAGAGTTACTCTTGTCCCTTTGGTCTCATAAAGATAACTTTTTTTCAGGGCAATGCTTAAGGATAACATTCTTTACTTTTTGAGCTAAACTGTTTTTTTGTTTCTTTAAAGATGACTTCAGGGACTAGTTTTGTTTCAAGATTTGAAGAGTATTTCAGGGTAATAGTCTCAGGGGTAGAATTTTAATTTTTTAAAGCCTGCAACTTATTGATGTCTTATATACATAATTAATTCATAACATAGTTATCTTTTATCTTATGTCCTTGGAGGTAAATATTCCCACTTTTAGACAAGAAAAAACCTTGAGGTGTAGAAAGGTTAAGGAATCTCCACATGTTCATACAAGTAGAGTGTGGAGGAGTTAGGCTGAAATCCAGGCTTGCTGGTTGCCGATTATTCCCCTAGTCCAACCAGGATTCTGAGTGGTTTATAATTTGACAAATGCAAGGTCAAATTATAGTTGGTCACAGCCCACAATAATATGAAAAGACACAGAAGCAAGATGAGGGAAAGGAAAAAATGAAAATATTCAGTTCACAAAAGAAACATATTTGCTATGCCTCTTCAAGTTTGTGACTCTTTCCAGACAACTGGGATGAAAGAGAATATATCATCCAGTCTATTATAAAAACTCAGGGACCACACTCATTCCTTGTAAAAAGAGTTATTTTAGAATTTAAGTCGGTATCGACTCGATGACAGTGAGTTTGTTTTGTTCTGTTTTGGTTCTCTTACCAAGTACACAAAGCTCCATCAGAATCTTTCTCTGTGATATAATACTGTGAAAGTTTTATGTAGTCTTAAAAGAGTAGAAGACATCAATATATGCTTCTGTTACATAACAGGGGTAGGAGTGAAATAAGAATGTTAGAAGAGGCATCGGAAGCCACACTAACTTGAGTAAATGTATAATGTCAGATCTAACACCATGACCTTTGTGAATTAGAATGGTGTGTGTGTGTGTGCTCGCACACTCATGCATGTGCACATGGTGAGAGGGGTGGAAAGAAAGCGAGAGATCGTGTGTGTACATGAGGAGTGTGTACCTTCCTCCAAAGAAAAATGCTTCATTAGCTACCAAGTTTCCAGTTATGGAGGATATCCCTGCCGTCAACTATTGTTTGCATTCTCAGGTTAAAAGCCTTGCTTCCTCAGAGGAAAGGATCTCTTCTCACAATGATTCAGAGCAGAAAATACAGCTGCTCAACAATGAGGTCAAACTTGTGGATTCTTTTCACAACTGGTAGCAGGTGTAGTCCCAGTTTGACCATCAGCAGATTATTTTATCCAAGAAGATTAAGTCCAAGGAGTGAAGAGTTTAGTAGAAAAGCAAAGTGGAGCTCTGAACTCCAGGCATTTAGTGTTGGATTTTTCTGCTAGAAAATTCCACATGTAGATTGGCTTCAACTTACTCTATTTGTATAATTTCATTATAGAGTTCAGAGCTATTTGGCACGGAGGTCTATGGGTGATTAGAAGAAAAGACAAGTTGACTTTAACACGTAGAACTGGGTATTGAGGTGGGCCGTTGCCCAGCACATGTTACTGCACTTTCCTCTACCTCCTGAGCACTGGATTTGGAAGATACTGGGTCCAAATACTTAAATTCATTTTGAGGCATCTATATAAAACCTCTGGGAGTTTGAAGCAGGCCCAGGATCCACCAGAGGGAAGATTTCTAAGTAAAGTCTGGGATGGCAAACTGAACCTACAGTTGAAGGTACACACAGGTTATAGAGATAAGCTCAGGGCTAGCGGTCATTTCTCCCCTCCTTGAGATTCCGAGGTGGTATCTCTAAGGAAGTAGATTGCCCAATTTTTCTTCCAAGGAGTGGCTGGTGGGTTTGAACTGCCGAGCCATCTGGTTAACAGTCAAATGTCTGAGGCACTATGCCACCAGAGCTCCTAGAGTTAGGTCATGGGCATCTCAACTAGATTCCCAACTGGGTGAAGTCTGAACCCTGAGGTGATTAAGGGGGCAGAGAATCATTTAGTGTGTCAGCTCCCTGGGAGCAGGTACTAGCTCTCCAGAGTGCTCTATATGGAACCATGTTCCTCAGGAAGCAGAGTGCCCTCAGGATGGTGTGGCCAAGGAGGCCATGTAAGCCCATTCTTCTTTAAGGAAAGTGGCTGTGATAGGCAGAAATGTGACATTAGAAAAAAATGCCTATTATGACTGCATGCAAATCAATTAAGTTGAAAATATTGTCAGGAGATTAATTTTTTTTTTCCACAATGGTGCTACCTGTAGTTTTTTTTTTTGTTTGTTTCATTTTTAACAACTCTGTCTAAGTAATATGCTGTCTGGAACTTTTTCTTTTGCAGTGCTGGTGTGGGGCGGACAGGAACATTCATTGCCCTGGACAGGCTCTTGCAGCACATTCGGGATCATGAGTTTGTAGACATCTTAGGGCTGGTGTCAGAAATGAGGTCATACCGGATGTCTATGGTACAGACAGAGGTAGGAGAATAATCTGTATGCATTTTGAAAAATTTGTCCTTGACTGAAAAATTTGCCATTATTCAATCTCATACTTCAAAACAAGTGTCTTGGATTGTTTTGCACCTGCCTTTCCCATTTCCCTACCGTTCACGTTCAAACTCTTTTCAGTTGTAAACGAAATGGATATTACCCTCTAGAAATCTATTCAGTGTATAGTGATTACACTTCTATTGGCCTCGTTTGGCCTTTAGTAATCCAGAGTACACAGAAATGCCTATAATAGCATAAATCATTCTCAAACAGCCTGACGGCTAGGTGAAGGTAATAGCCAACCTGGGTAAAACCACCAAATAGAAACTGTAGAACTGATGTAATTTATATCTAAAACGTTGGATTTGACAATAAGTTTGTCATTAGTTTGTCCTCCCTGTTAACTCTCTGTCACAACTCGCTTTCGATGGTGGTCATGGGTAGATTTATGCCTTTTGTTCACTTTATACTTTCAAGGATTCCCAATTCCCTAACTCACCCAGTTTTTCAAGTTCCCTTTCATTTAAATAAACAGATTTCTTATTCTAACAACACAGGAGCCCTCCCAGAAATATCCATCAATACCTTCTTCCTCCTCTTATCCCAAGGCCTCTCCTCCCTTGAAGCCTTGTACTTCTTCACTCAGACTGGAGTGCCAGTCCCAGGTCAGAGCCAGCAGACAGAATTACTTGGTCTCAGAGAAGTGGTAGGTGGTACCTGTGTGGGTGCAAAAACCTCAGTACAGTAGCTTGTTCCTAATCCTAGTCAATCAGCCTTACTCTCGACATCTCAGCTTCAGGCACACAATAGTCCTTTTTCTCTAGGAGTGTGTGTGGGAGGAACGCTTGTTGAGGAGAACACAACCTGACCTGACCTCTTACTAAATTTCTAGGGGATTAAAACAAGCTTTGGTCTTCCTCATGTTTTTTCTAGAAATTACCACTAGATGGCAGTATACCTCAGGAAGCCTAGCAAAATGGCTGCACTTTCTTAGTCCTTTCCTGTTTGTTCTTCCTCACCCTTTTTTACATTTCTTTCCTCCTGCCTCCCCATTCCCATGTGACCAAGGCTTGGCACAACCATTCCAATGTGTTTTATTTCTGAGTGATAGCAGCATCATCCCACTTTGGACAGGATAAACCATGCACAGTCAGATTTCTCTTTCTGATTAGAAAACAGTCCTGCGTTTGTTTCCTCACTTCTTGAGCTCTCTCACATTCCAAGCCTACTGCCTTCTATTTCACTGCTGTGGGGAAATGAACATCACCTTCTTATTGTGTGTTTAGAACATCCTGGTTTCCCAGAGAAGTCTTCCTCTAGCTAGTGATTAAACAGTAATCTATTAATTGATTCTTACTTTTGGCTTTCACTTCTATAAATGTACACCCTAATAGGTGATTAAACTTCTCATTATGCGTATTAATTCCCAAGCTTCAAAGAGCCACTCCTTATTGTAAGTATTTTGGATGTGATGAATTATCTGCTTTATTCCCTTGATTATACCTTTTATAACTTTATAAAACAAATCAAAAAGCAGCTCTGGTGTTATAGTGGATAAGGCATTCGGCTGCTAACCAGAGAGCAGCAGTTCAAACTCACCAGCTGCTCCGCAGAAGAAATACCGGGTGATCTACTTCTGTAAAGATTTACAGCCTTTATAGACATTGATTATAGCCTTTTTGATTGTGATTTTTCCAACTATAGAATATTAATCCTTTTTTAAAAAAACTACCTTCACATGGCACCCCCCCTCTATCCCACTTGCAGCTTCGTTATCTGTCTTGAGGTATGGTGATTATAAACTAGGGCAGCCAGGATGTGACTTTGTGCAAAGCTGGGAAAAGACTTTTTCCAGAGTGCCTTCTTGTCTCAAATGTTGCTTATTTATTCGACTTCTTTTTATGGAAGCATTTTTAGTTGAAATCTCTAGGGAAACAATCTCTTTTAAATGTGAGATACCTTTCCTGAACTCTGATGGGGGAATTCAAAGTCAGCAAAGGGGTGGAGGTCACCACAGGTTATTTATTTTTCCCAACAGTTCTAGCTTCACCCTTGAGTTCCCTCAAGAGTTGGTGGTGGGTGCTTTCCAGGTTCAGTTATTCATTTATGTCTGTTTGGTAGTTACTTCAAGAACATCTTGTTCATTTACCTTTACTTCCCCTCACCCCTCTGCTTTCCATGCTTCAGCCTGTATTATCCCTTTCACGTCCCAATTCTGTTGCTTTCTAACTTACTCAGGTCAATAAGTAAGGAGCAAAGTAAAAAATTATTCTCTTTATCCTCACAGAGTATTCCTCTGACACTAATGATTTTCAAGATGCCATAATGATTCTCCAGCTGACTGTGTCTATAAACAATTCTCAGTCTATAAACAACCTGTGAACTGTACACCATGTTTCCTCCTATTCCCAGTTTCTAATTCTCCAGCATGTCTAGACTGCCCATAGTCCTGATCCCCTCACCCCACCCCACTATAAAAAAGGACGGAAGTAGCTAATTAAATAGGCCATATTCTCAGATGCATTATTTCAGGGTCCTTGCAATGCATGCTCTGGTAGTTAGTGCCTTAAGGCACTTGACTGCTAACCAGAAGGCTGGTGGTTCAAACCAGTGGTTCAGCCACTCCTCAGAAGGAAGGGTGGGCAAACTACTTCTATAGTGATACTGCCTCAGAAACCCAAGGAGGGGTCACTATGAGTTGGATCCAAATCAATGGCACATAACAACAGCCGCAGCAATGCATACAAGGAACTCTGATGATGCTGTGGTTAAGGCATTAGGCTGATAACCAAAATGTCTACGGCTCTGCGTAAGACAGATGAGGAAGTCTGCTTCCGTAAAGATTTACAGCCTTGGAAACCCTATCAGGGTCTATGAGTCAGGACCGACTAGATGGCAGTGGGTTAGGCTTTGGTATGCAATGCATGTGGTGGTGGTGGTGGTTGTTACGTGCCATCGAGTCGGCTCTGACTTATAGCAAACATATGTACCACAGAATGAAACAGTGCTGGGTTGACTGCCACCCTCACAGTACTTGCTATACTTGAGCCCATCGTTGCAGCCACTGTGTCAATCCATCTTGGTGGAGGTCTTCCCCCTTTTTGCTGACCGTTCACTTTACCAAGCTATGCCAGCGGAGTGGGCTGTGTTTGGACCTGCCCTCTTTCCCTTTCTCACTTCCCCTGACACCTTTATAGGCCTCTCCACAAAAGCAGCAGCAGTAGTTAGAAAGAGCCAGACCCTGGGAGGTCGTCCAAGCTCCAAGCAGTGCCTCTGCACTAGTCACTTCACTTCTCCCATTCCTCATCTGCAAAATGCGAATGATGATTTTCATGAATTGTAAAGTATGTATTACATGAAATGATATAATATAGACAAGTGCTTTGAAACTGTACAGAAGATGATGTTTGCCTCTTAGGCGCTCTTCCATTTTTATCAAATATTTTGCTTGGTTTTCTTTAATAGCCTTTCCCTGGAGGTCAGTTAGAACTTTGCCTTTAGCAATGTGCTTCTGATTTGCAGTCTAGATTTCTTTTCTTTTCTTTTTTTAAATTTTTTATTTTAAGAGTTTGTTTTACATTCAACATCACTTGTACATTAGTTTCACTCCCCATTTACCATGCCCAACCCTAACCCAGTTTCCTCCCCACCCTGCCCAGTAACCCTCCCCCCGTGCCCCTCATAGTTATGCACTCCTGTGTGTCCTGCATTACCTCCATGTGCATGTTGACCTTCTGGTGCCCCGTGGTCTATTGCTCCAAGAGAGGCATTTCCATAGAGTATGTGGGTGCATCCCCCTCAGTTGAGCGGTCTGCATGTGCATCTTGTTTACTATTGGGCTGAGAGCCAGCCCCCGGGAGTGAGTTTTATTCCAGGCCCAGAATGTATCCCAGGACCATAGTATTGGGGGTCTCACCAGATTCCATCTGACCAGTAATTCTGGTCATTATTGAGTTTTTGGATTTCGTTCCACATTTTTCCTCTCACTCTATCCAGGATCTCCAGATTTGATCCTTTCCTGAGTGGTTGGCATTGGTAGCTGGGCACCATCTAGTTCTGCTGGTCTCGCGGGCGATCGGTTCCTAGGGCTGATTGCTTCCAAATGCCCTTGTTTTTTTGCACTTTTCTTCGCTTCTGATGATAGGAGACCATTAGCTGCATCTTAGATGGCTGCTTGAAAGCTTTTAAGACTCCAGTCACTTCTCACCAATGTAGGATGAAGAACATGGCTTTCATGTATTTTGTTGTGCCAACTAAATCTGGTGTCCCCCCAATACTATAGTCCTGAGTCAATAGATCCATTGGATCTCTCTCCCACAGTGTCTGGCTGTCTGTGAGGGATTACTCTATGTCTGTCTTCTGTTGTTTCTGTAAGGATTTCAGATATTTTGTATCATTGGTATCTGTGCAAGATTAGCCTCCACTGAGTCTATCCTCGGTCTAGAGTGTACTCCTGTTCACTGACTCCTGTTCATCTGATCTTCTCAACTGTTTATGCATTTATCTGTAGCCTGGTGTTTGGTGTTAATGGTAATGCAATATTGTGGATATAGTGGTTGGTAATTAGCATCTGCTGTCTATAGACTATGTGCACAATTTGGTGTCCTCCCTTTTCCTAATGCTATCATGGTGATCACAGACTCTACACCATCCCTCCCCTTACCCATGTCAGCATGTGGCCCCCAACTAGCCCAAAATTAATGTGTCCCCCCCCCCAGAAATCCCTTTCTCAAGCAAATCCTTCTTTGTCTTTTTACAGTAATGGGCTCATATACTATTTGTCCTTCTGCAATTGACTTATTTCACTCAGAATAATGTCCTCCACAGCCTAGATTTCTTTTGGGCTCCCCAGGATGTGCTCCTTAATAGCCTTTTGTTTACTTTCCTGTGGTCTAGCTACCTTTTTTGACACAAATGTTGGCCCACTATTGGCACTGAGTATAGGCTGAAGAACCAGGCAATCTCAGGCCTTATCTATGTGCAGTGCTTGATAATGGTATACAACCAGAGCTCCTTATGATGATAAGGAGTAGCTCAGTTGTTGAGCTTCTGTCAAAAAATAAGGATATATTGTCTGCAAACCTTGTTGAAAATAACCTTTTTGTTTTCAAAGCAAGAAAAGAAAAATCAACCCAGTGATGTGTGATGTATTAACCTTTATCCATTGTTTAAGGCTATCATAATAAAAGAGCCTTAAAATCCTGTGGATAATGGCATTAAAAATATTTGCTTTTATAGAAACTTTGGGAAACATAGGAAAACATGAAAGACCATGAAATTATCCATGATTTCATCTCACAAAGACAACTGCTCTTAATATTTCAAGTATTTCTTCTTGACCTTCATTCAAGCATCTTTTATATAGTTTTGCTCATATGGATCTATATATGTTTATCTATATATCTTACACCCTAATTTTCACTTAACAATATACAATGCGTTTTAGCACCAATTGCCTGTTGTTGTTGTTGTTATTTGCTGTCGAGTTGGACCCAACTCATAACAACCCCTCCTTGGGTTTCCGTAGCAGTATCACTATGGAAGTAGATAATTGCCTAAAACTATACAAATAAGCAAAGGTGTGCCTTTGCTTATTTGTCACTTTTTTTAGAATATTAAACTGGTTTCTTTTTTATTATTATTTTTTTTTACTATTATCAGTGTCAACAACACCATTTATTAGCATTTTATTAATTATATGAAAAACCAAAAACCCACTGCCATTGAGTTGATTTCCGAGCCAGTAAATATTTATGGAAATAGACTGCCTGATCTTTCGTGGAGTGGCTGGTGGGTTTAAATCACCAACCATGTGGTTACCAGTCAGATGCCTTAGGCACTGTACCACCAGAGCTCCTTAATTAATTGTTACCTAACAACAGATAAAAATTGTTTCAACAAACTCAAGTCATCATTGAGTGCTATTTCTTTTTTCCTTTTAGCTTCACTTACTTTATAGACAAGTAATTGTTTTAATTTACATTTTGATTACTTGGCTATTGCTAGTTATTATTATTTCCTCAGTTTAATTCAAGAAAAATTTAACAAGCACAAACTACAGTGCTAGATATTAGGAATAAAAAGACATAGTCCTTGCCTGCCAGGAATATTTGGGCTAGTGGCTGATGTACTTTATCTATCTTTCTGCTTAAGAGTGTGAGTTACTGATTTGGATGAGTTTTTTAATAAGTAAAGGTATCAACATTTTGTCATTATTTAGAAAATATTTTTCCCTCAAACTTTCTGATTTTTATTTTCTTCTTTTTACTTTCTTTTCCATGCAGTAATTTGACATTTTCAACTGTAATATTTCCCATCGTTTGTAAGTGGAGTCTGGTAGCATAGTGCCTAAGGCACTTGACTGCTAACCAGAAGTTGGCAGTTCACACCCACCAGCCACTCCTCAGAAGGAAGACTGGGCAATCTACTTCTGTAGAGATACCGCCTCGGAAACCCAAGGAAGGGTCACTATGAGTTAGAGATGCCTCGACGGCACGTAAAAACATCAACAAAGTGGTCCGAGAGGAACTAACCTATATTTTTGTTGATATTTTTAAGGCTTAATTTATTAAAATTTCTTGGATTTATTTCAGTGTATGGTCAGGTTATGCACTATTTATTTTCCCCACATAGCCCCATAGATTGTCAATTGAATATATTAATAAAAATATTTTCCCCAGTAGACTATCTTCAAGTTTCTAATGATAAAAGTGTCTCTGTAAATAATGAAACACATAGTGCCTAAGGCACTTGACTGCTAACCAGAAGGCTGGCGGTTCAAACCCACCAGCCACTCCTCGGAAGGAAGATGGGACAATCTACTTCTGTAGTGATACTGCCTCGGAAACCCAAGGAGGGGTCACTAGGAGTCGGGTCCGACTTGACGGCACATAACAACAACATTCCCCTTTATAAAACATCTTGATCATGAAAATTATCATAATACCATAAAGCCTGAAAATTCTGGAAACTGAAAGGTAGAAACTATCAGGGGGGGAAAACCTAAATACTTTCAAGTAAAACAAGTGACAGAAAAGTGGGTAAGACTGCACCCTGTCAAAGGAGGAAATTTTGTGAGATCTGGAAAAACAAGGCAGTCCCATCAATTTCTGGTTTCATTGTATTAGAATATTATATCTTTATGCATATTTTCAGGAGTTCTGGTAGTGTAGTACCTAAGGTACTTGACTGCTAACCCACCAGCCATTCCTCAGAAGGAAGGTTGGGCAATCTACTTCTGTGGTGATACCGCCTTGGAAACCCAAGGAGGGGTTGCTATGAGTTGGGTCTGACTCGACAGCATATAACAACAAACAACAACAATACATATTGTCACAAAGATGTCTTGCTCTGAAATATGTTTTTGCATTTGCTCCAGGAACAATACATTTTTATCCACCAGTGTGTACAGCTGATGTGGATGAAGAAGAAGCAGCAGTTCTGCATCAGTGATGTCATATATGAGAATGTCAGCAAGTCCTAGTTCAGAATTCGGAGCAGTAAGTAGAGCAGAGCCCATCACTGGCTCTGTGCTTAGAACAATGAATGTGTGTGTGATGGCATTCAATGAAGAAGGGGGCAAAAGGAATCTCTGGGCAGTTTTATCCATTCTGCCTTCACACTAGTTATTTCCACCCCATCTCTAAGCCAATAAAGTTGGTCATAGGGAGGAAGAGACAGTGTAGAAGATCATAAAGCTTCAATTCACCTTGTTTGGTGATCACAACATGTAGGAGCTTGTCATAACTCATGAGGACCTCCAGTCCCTCCATCCTGAACCTTAAATTATAATATTGGATCTGTGCCTGCAGTATCAGGATACTGTCATCCACCTCTTTATCTAGATATGTTGTACAAATATTTTATTGATCACAAGGGCTATACAAGCAGTTACAGAGAAGATATGAGCTGGAGTGGATACCCCAAAGAAGCAAAACAATATTGACAATACTGAGTATCAGGGTAAGAGAGTCTAGAAATGCCTTGTTCTCATCTCATCTTGTTCTCATCTGTATGTCAGTCAGTATGTCAGCACTTAAGAGCTTCATAAAAACATTTGCAATGCACTTAATGCCCTATACTCAAATTTTGACCAGAAGAACAGAGTTTTGGATGTGAAAGCAATCTCAGCTGAAGGAGCATGTAATCTGAACCTTCAGTTCAGTACACAGAATGTGAATGTGTCTGTATATGCTGGAGGGAGTAGCCATTCACAAGATGGGGAGAAGCAGTAGTGCGCTGTGGGACAAATATGGAAAGGCAGGTGGTATATGGGCCAGTGGGTAACAGGACAGGATTAGCATTATCCCTTTACATCCATGAAAAAAGAGGAACCATCAGAGTTCAAAGGTTTCAGAGGATAAAGAATAAGAAAAGACAGAAAGAGACAAATTTTGCAGGGAGAGGGAATACATTCAGACCCTCATGAAATGGGAGTCACAAAGATAAAGACGTGTAGATGCACACAGAGACACAAGGGTTGGGAGATTGACTGTGATGAGAGCTAACGGTAGAGCCAGGAGGAGGTCTCTGTACTTCCAGAGGTGTTGGTCGGCGACTTTGATATCCTCGGTTGCTTACTGTCCTTCTTTCTCTCATTTGCAGGAGAGGACATGATGTGCGCCCATCCTCCCTTGCTTCTGGATTTTTTGGGGGAGCTTGCTAGCCATTTTGCTAACAAGAGCTTCCACTTTGTAATGTGTGTCCAAGGAGATAATTTATCTCAGAAGCACCGGGAAGACTTAGCCTTAAAGAGCCTACAGTGTCTTTTGGACTCTTTCACTTCTGGACATTTAATAATGGACCAAATTCAATCAAACACTACAAAGGTCAAGATGCTCTACAAAGGGCAGGAAGTGCAGCACTTCCCAAGAATTTAGTTCGCCCTTTGCTGGTTGGGCTGAGTTGGTTTTTTGTTTGTTTTGTTTTTAGTGCAATAATTTTTGTATGTGTGTGATTTTTATCATAAGTAGAATTGTTTTCTGCCCACACCATTGATCTAACCCACAGCCCAGGAAGGAATAGGCAGTGTTAATATCAAACTATACCTCATAGTTTAGTTTAAAAAAAAAAAAGAGGAGTGGCCACACATGCAGAAATGGTAATTCTTCTTCAAGCATATAGAACCAGCAATATCTACATTCCACTATTAAGTGCTGGATCAGGAGCAGGGAGTGGAGACCAGGGGAGAGAAATGTTCTATCCACAGATCAACTGTGTATCTTTTTCCTATTCCAAATATAAAATCTGTAATTCAACTTTAGAGTAGAAAAAAAAAATTAAGTCTTACTTGTTCTAGTTCTCAATGGTTTTCTATCATCTTATTAACATTTGAGTGTTTTCTTGGACTAATGCCGCTGTCCAGGTTCTTTTGTTGATAAACGAGGTATCTGGTTCAGAAAAGTTTGAAGTCTGGCTCTTTAGATTCCATTACTGTCTGAGCAATCTTGGTGCCTAGACTTTGCATTCCTTTTTCTGTTTATACATGTGGGAGCTACTTCTTTGAGAACTATAGGCCGTGGAAACGCACTTTCCTTCTTTCAAAGAGCTGGGAATTTATATGAAGTTACAGCAATGAATTGCAGCATGCTAGGACAATTATTTGGCTACAGTTTTTGTAATATTGTCAAGCGTCTCTATAGATTCCAACAGAGATTTCTTTTTGTTTTCTTTTTGGTTGTCAGCTTCATTTTAACCAGTGTAAGTAGTAACATTTTATTCTTTGGATTTTGTATAATTACAGTACATAATTGTGTATTGTGACATGAATGCTGTCTAAATGGACATTGATGGCACCAAGAAGCCTGGTACTTTGTGTCACTTCCTTTGAAAAGAGGTGATGGTATGGGTGTAAAGGAATACGTTTTGAGTTGAAAATAAACACAAGCTGGCTGCTTCACTGTGGCAATATGGTTGCCACAGAACCTTCCTCTGAGAGCTTCCAGGAGACTTTGCTTCTGCTGTGTATCTGATCATGGCCCCTTGCCCCAGCTTCCTTCCATTCCTCATTCTCTTCTTGAGGCCATGTATATAGGATCAGTTTAATATTTCAACAGTGACCTTAGTGAAGGTGAAGGATGCCAACTGAACAGCTCTGCACCCCACAGTCTCTTGTCACTGAGAAGGCCTGGCCACAACAGACCTTGGCACCATCACTTGCATGGCCGGGCCAACAAGTCTCAGTTTCACCTTGCAGGGTGAGTGGCAGAAGATGTCCATACCCTACAGGTTAACAGCTTGGACTCCTCAGGAATTGTCCCTTTTTACTCACTGCCCTTCCTCCCTGTCTTACCATCCTGCTGCCATCCCCCTCCTCTTCTCACCCTCATCCCCATTATTTTCCTTCTTGGATATTTTAATAACCTATCATTCCATTCTTAGGAATAAACATGGCTTTCAAAAGGTGGCAAATGAATGTGTGACATTCTTAGACTTTCACACATTGATAGGTGAGGAGTGAGGTGTGCAATACTGGAAGAGCCAGTGAGATGTACAGGTAACTGGGAATGCATTTCAGAAGCTTACAGGATTTTTGCCAACTGGAACATCACTTCCCATGAAACTTAAAGCACTTCACATAAATATTTCATGTTTTTTTCCCTTGAGTGCCCCATCAAGGTAGGGATCAAAGAGTGCCAAATCCATTTTCCCAAAAGAACAGTTAAAGTGTCCAGAGTTAATTAAAAACCCAAATTGAAAGAAATGGAGTCAAACCCAGAGAGTGCATTATTTCTACTGGAATTGTTGAGTTTGCTTCAACAGGCGTAAAATGAAAAACTATGAGCTTTTCTATCCTTAATAAGTAACAGACTCTAGTTTAAACTACAAAAAGGTCACACTGAAGCACTTCACCTGATCATTCTCAGGGGTTAGTTATCACTCTGGTCACAGAAACACAGGTGCTCCTCACTTTGCAGAGCTTACTGTGGAAGAAGAATCAATCTGTCAGAAGACTTTGAGTTTTAATCTCAACAGATGACTTTAGAATTTCTCTGTGCTCAGTCTCAGTTAACCCAACTGTAAAATGACCTAATAACAGCTCCTTATTTTGTAGGCATAAGGATGATCAGATATGATAATTCTCCCGAAGTTACTTTGTATCTTGTTCTCTCATGTATCCTAAGGCCACTTAAACCAGCTCTATTTCCACCCCAAGACTCGACTTTAAGCATTCAGAAAGGAAGCTGCCAAGGCCTTTGTATTATTAATTAGGGTTTTTATACTCTGAGAAGTGCTTTGTCCTCAATACTGAGGCATCAGCGTATGCAGTTCCTCATAACTTATTTGGTACATAGAACTTTGTATTGCAAAACATGTAATTTTGAATGCCACTGAGATCAACTTCCTTAGGTACAAGTCAATTTCTGAGGTTAACTGAGAAAACTACCCTTAGTGTCTAATTCATAAATTTAATGGTTAACACTGACATATTCATCACCACACAGAATATGATTTATTTTTATTTTTTTTAAAAGAATGACACTATTTTTTGGACAACACTCTAATTCAGGGCTCATGATTTCCCACTGCAAAGATAACATTGTCCCCAAAATTTAAAATTAGAAAAACTGGTTAAAAAAAATGTTTTCATGTCAGGTTTTTATCTTTTAATGTCTACTTTTCTAAAAGCTGCCCTTAATCTAAAAGAGCCAACATGTCTCTCAAAGGAGAATGTGGTTTCAACACATAAGGCAGGGGCCAGAGGCTTTGCATCTGAATTTATTGCAGGCCACATGATAGCTGTGTGTCAGAGCACTGACCCTTAGCCAAGGAGCTAAAGTCACTGAGTCCAATTTCTTAGGAGCCAAAATTCTCCCTGCTTTCTAGCAAGGCGGCCTTCCTTTGCACCCTGGGAAGTGTCTGATGTAATGTGCTTCAAATTAGTTGGCTCATTTTCTAGTCCACAGATTTCTAGCCTGCTGCTTGGCCCAGGGTCAGAGTCCAGGAGCCATACTCATGACCGAACATAATATTCACATTGGCCAAAGGGATTATCAAGCAACAAAAACCTAACACATGCAAAAATTGCAAACTTCTACCTCTGGTTTTCAATAGCCCCATTTGGATGCATTTGAAGGAAACTAAAGCCATGACCCCTGACCTTCTGGAACAGCAGTATTTTTCTTTCAGTTTCAGTTCATGCTTATCACAAGGCCTTATCCTGGTGGGTCACTTGATTATAGACGGAGTATAATGTTTAGCTCTAAGAGCTGTATTTTAAGAGGGACATTAAGAAACTGAAGGTTGTCCAGGGCAAGGTCACCGGAAGTGAGGGATATGGAAAAACAATAGGTCATAATAACAAAACCTGGGAAAACTGGAGCTATTAGGCCCTGAGTAAAGGAAGCGTCATTCATTCATTTAATTATTCCCTCAACAAATATCTGTCTATTTATATTGAATGGATGAATGAGTCAAAAAATGACAAGATTTCTTGACCAAGTGCAATATTCTAGGCATTATAATAAGCAAAAATAGAGCAATAAATGATGGCTTTTAAATGTATGTCATAGAATCATAAATGTGGTTTTGTTGTTGTTACAAGGATTACAAAAAGTCTTTTTTCAACATTTTCCACTCGTATCTCCCAAAACTTTGATAATATATCTTCTACACATCCTCCGCCAGCCAAGATAATGGTGTTAATTTTTTTTTTTCCCTATAAACTTATATAACAGAAACAACAGGTAACCATTGTTTTTGTCACTCATCAACCACCAGAGACCCCAACATGTTCCTTCTTCCTTGATAAGAACCACCAAGGTAGACTAATCAGGACTCCCTTTGGCAGACAGCTAATTCTTACCTACTGAATCCCTCCAGATATGAGAATCACTCCCTCACAAGGTGTCTAGCTTCTGTTTGTCAGAAAGCACTTACTTTGTATGCTTACACATCTAAGGAATTTATTAACACTAAGGATGAGTGAGTCTATGCCTCTTATGGGCATAGGTTTGAAGCCCAAATCCACTCAGGGATTTTGGCAAAAGGGCAAGGGCTGTGTGCATGCTGCTGCCCAGGGCTGACTGAAATAGAAGCTGGTTTCTCAGGCAGCAAAGGGAAGGACATTTACACCTGACACCCAGGAGAGGAATGGTAAGTTGTTTTTTTTTTTTGTTCTGAGAAACTACTATTGCTATGCCCTTTATATACATACAATCTTAACTGTCAAATGTGATTTTAAGGTAAGAATGCCATTTAACAGGTAAAGAAGTCGAGAGGCAATTAGATTAAATAAACTGCAACAGCTCATCACTTCCAAAAGGAGCTCTGGTGGTGTAGTGGTTAAAGTATTTGCCTGCTAACTAAAAGGTCTGTGTTTCAAACCCACCAGCCACTCTGAGGAAGAAAGATAGACAGTCTGCTTTCTGTAAAGATTTGCAGTCTTAGAAACTCAATAGGGGTTGCTATGAATCAGAATCGACTTGATAACAGTGATTTGGTTTTTGGTTATTCAATTATATAGTGGCAGAAACAGGACTTCAAACCAACTATGTCCCGCCTCGAGGCTGTTTCTTCCCCACCACATCATGCTGGTTCTTATTTTTCCTTATCATTGATACAGTACATAACAGAACAAAATCAAATCTTCATCTTCAGGTAATGTGTACAATGCAGAGAGTAACCTTCCAAATTAAGAAATAGTAAATTCCTAATCTCTAAGAAAATCACTTTACTCAACATTCCATGCCAGGCATTGTGGGAGAGGTAGGGCCTATGAAGATGGATGAGACAAGTCTCCACTTGAATGAGTTCACATTCTACTAGGAGAAGTTAGAAGTGAAGAAATGGGTAACAAAGTGTTATCGATGACAGGATATAAACACAAAATGCATCCAATGTCAGCCCGAGGGAAGGACAAGTCATTTTTTCCAACAGGTCCAAGAAAGACTCAACACTTAGAACCATGTTAAAGTGTAGTGATGGAGTACATTCATTGTTGCATTCAGCAAACATTCATAAAACACCCATTGTGTCCTGGTGACATAGTGGCTAAAGTGCTCAGCTGATAACCGAAAGACTTGTGGTTCAAACCCACCAAATACTCCTTGGGAAAAAGATGAGGCAGTCTGCTTCTGTAAATATTACAGCCTTGGAAGCACTATGTGGCAGTTCTATAGGGTTGCTATGAGTTGAAATCAACTTGATGGCAATGGGTTTTTGTTTGTGCATTAGTTACTGGGGCCCATATGGGTGACCCATCCTCCAAGCCTGCCTTCTGGAGTGTTTCTTCCTGGCAGACTCCAAAGTGATAATTTTTCTCCAAGCCGCCATAGACAGCTCCAGTTCATACATTGCTTGGCAAATTCCAGTGGGTTTTTTTTTTTTTTTAAAGATGAGCATCTGCTGCAAATGTAGTGGAGCATGTTAAGGCATTTCCCAGCACCTCTGCAGTTAGGACAGGGCCATGTGACTGAGCGCCAGGCAATGGAAGTTGCCTAGATGGAAGAATGATAGACCACAGTTTCTGGCATGGCCCATGAAAATCATCCCAGAGCTACCTTCTCTCTCTCTCTCTCCCTCTCCCTCTCCCTCCCTCCTCAATTTAGAAGCCACATATTAAAAGTGATGATGCCACAAGATAGAAGGAGCCTGGGGCACTGAATCACCACTTGGAGCAGTGGTGCCTGCGTACATTGGCCCATGTTGTGATTAAGAAATGAATTTTTATTGTGTAAAGTCATTGAGATCCTAGGATGGTCAGTAGTGGTATTCAGTCTGCCCTAAATTATCCTAATTGCACAAGGATAACCTTTACAACCATGTTTGATCTTAGTTACAGTGGAAGTTTTTCAAGACAGTGGTGTGTGACTGCCCAATAAAATTCCCAGAAGACAGGTTAAAGACGAAACAGCAAAGCAAGGTACACCCACGATGTAAAACAAGGGGTAAAGAGATCACAGAAACAAAGATTGTTTTTTTAATAAATAAACTCTTCTATGAAAATAGTCAGAATTATTCTTCAGAAGTAGTTTTCCTCCATGTTACAAGTTTCCATATCTTCTCCTGTCTCTTTCCAACACCTATAACAAAATCATTATTTAGGAAACCCATTAGTATATTTTAGTCTTACAATAGACTATCCACTATAGATCAGACTCCTGGCTTCCTCTCAACAATGGACCCCACAAGGGTTACACATCAATAGATGCCCAAACAGAAGGCCAGGAGGTGTGGCATGTGGAGCAATGCTGAGCACTGCAGTCCCTGTGCCTCGTTATGTTACAGTGAGTTCCAGGGTCATGGGTAGGAGTTTAAAGTCAGCTGACATAAACTAGTCTTGTTCAGTCCTAAGAAACCAAAAAGTCCAAAGGGCTTTTTAAACTTAGAAAAGTTAACTAAGACCATGACGGCTTTTATAAATAAGAAATAGAATGGTCTTGGAAGGGTTCCTTTATGTCCAAAACCAAACTAGACCAGTGGAGCTGGGAAGCAGTACAGCAAGGGCTGAGCAGTGAAGCAGAGCAAGGCAATTAAGAAAAAAGGGCTGTGGATGGAGACAGACTTGAGGTAAATGCTCTGGTCTTGTGTGCCTCAGTTGTCTCTTCTGAGATGGAGATGGTGATAGGACTGTTTTCATAAGGTTTCAAGAAGAGAAACAAGATAATGTGTACAGGGGGGTTTAAACCAGTACCCGAGGCAATTTAGTATATTACAAGGTCCCCAGTATAAGTCAG